TGGCGATTGCCTGGAGGAACATGATCCAAAAATGTGCTTAATTTGCTTTAAAAATCAACCAAAGGAGAAAATTGCTCAGCAATCTAACAAGAGACCAACTAAAACTGGCACTACGACAGATCTGTTTGCAAAATTTTCAAGCGTTATGAAGCTCAAGTCGGCCGAAGTGAAAGATAAGCTTATGGATATTATTGTAAATCCCTCCAATAATACGGCGAACGCTTCGACGATGGTCGGTAATTCGCATCAGTACACGCAAGACCGGCATGTCTCAGCTTCAGAACGTAATGGCAAACGTTATCGTAATGTAGCACCAGTTTTTAGCATCGACGACGAAGGCGATTATAGCGATCCTTTGGAAAGTAAAACTCTGTTAAATGACGATAAAAATAAGATGTCCGGTGATGACCAAGAGGTCGTTACGCTTAACAACTATTTAAAATCGCCCGATATTATAAACGCTTTCAAATGCCAGGAAGTGCATATGAATGGGTATATGTACGATTCCCACTTGATTATAACCCCATCGCATTTATTAGTTCTGCGGGAATTAGGCCGTGGTCAAGCTCAGATTATGGTACGTCGTCCTTTGGCAAGTATTGTTAAGATTACTGCAAAGAAAAGACATCGCGATTTAATTACATTTAAATATGGATTTCCCGAGGGTGACAATTTGCTTATAACCGATATGGATCGCTTCCTTATACCAAATGCGAGTGAAGCAACAGCTATGGTATCCAAATATATTGTGCAAACATTGGATGGCAGTAAATTAACGTAATCTTAAGTCAATTAACATTTAATCAGAATGTAAAACAAAGCATGTATCTAATTGAAGTCTATTCCTTTCGCCCTTTCCTGATCTTTGTTTAACTTGATAGTTTTTGTTTTCTATCTTCTTCTCTTCAATTTTTGACAATTTAAAATCTTTTCTTAAGTTGTACGTATGTTTGGATGTATGCTTACATGTGTACGCTTAGAAAAGGGTAAAACTAACTTGGCTTGTTGCAGTAGCGTACACAATTGAACTTTAAAGTCCAGCATAAAAATTGAAGAGAAGATAGGTTTACGTGGACAAATATTTAAATAATAATTAAATCAGTCCCTTATCTTAAGCGTAAACCAAGAGATGATTAAATGTAAGCTTTAGAATTTTATTTTCCCTAATATGATTTGTTTTCTTGTTTTGTTTTTTGTTTGATGATGCCGATAATGATGATGATATATTCTCCGCATATTTGATATACTTAGATATCCCATTTATCAATGAAATGAATCTAACCGTGATAATAACAATAATTTAATAACTCTTTCCTGAAAACCATTAGATTTAGCATACGAATGGAAACTTAATGTAGAAATGTAGTGAAATAAATATTCCTAATTCGTGTCTATTTTACAATTTATTTTAATTTAGTTAGGAAAGCGTGACAGAGCATTTTTGCATAATAATCAATTTCAGTACATCTAGCTAATGAAATAATAGTTCACACCTGTCACAAGTGTAGGTAAATAAAAAACTTAACTACTACTCAACAGCCTCACATGAACCAATGTGGCGGTAATGTCAACAAGTCCATCTCATTATCGCTTATTTTAACGGGAATCTGAAAAGTCTTAATGGTATGAAAATCATCGAATTAAATCACCCGATAGAACTAGATTTTATCGAACCGAGTTATATATAAGTTTGTATTATCCACTTGTAAAAATGAACACGGGATTAATAATATAAAATCTAGGCGGCTATCTGTAAGAATTCCTGAAAAGACGAACACTCCATCAAACATTCGAAGAATTTTACAAGTAAAGAAGTGAATGAACTTGTCATCCATTAAATCTTAAATCGTTTGAGGGAACTTTTACTTGACCTAGGGATATTTTTTCAGGACTTGGAACGCCTATTTGATCAAGGTGTACTTAGGGCAACTTTTAATGGTCTTAAAGGAATTGTTTTCGGAACTAGGCGGTACTTTCGTAGAATTTCGAAGTACTTTTCGAAGGCTTAACAATGGGTACCACTTAAGTTCTTAGGGGAACTTTCATTGGTCTTAAGGGGCTATTTTTATTGAGCTTGAGGGCGAACTTTTATTGCACACAGGAGAACTTTTCTAGGACCTAGGGGGTACTTTTTAAAATCTCAGGGGCGAGTACCTTTATTGGACTTAGGGATACTTTTTAAGGATTAAGGGGCGGGTACTTTTACTGGTCTTTTATTTGATTTAGGGATAGTTTTTTGAGACTTAGAGAAACTTTTATTGGTCTTACGAGTGCTTCCTTTGTGCACTTGTAAAATGACTTTGATATCTCGATAAAACCCATTAGCAAGTTTTTTCCTTACAAGGTTTATAAAAACAAGCACCATTTGTTGGGAATGAAGAGAGCACAGGGTTGCTTTCATTAAATTGCAACGCTTCGAATAAGGCTGAATGCTGTTAAAGTGGTACAAAATGGGGCCGCAAATCCATTAAAAAATTAATCCAAAAACTCTAAAATGTAATTTAACTCTTCAAAAACTTTATTTTCTTATAGAATAATTTATTACTCTCTATATTTTACTTTAAGAATTTGTGCTTCTTTTGCAAATGTACTTAGATTTCGTCTCGGTTTCCTTAATTTCGTGCAACAACTCTCTATCCATTCCCCCCGGCAGCACAATTTGATATTTTCGATGTTTTCTTAGAATATAGGGTACCTATATTACATTATTGAATTTACAGGAACTTTTACTGGGTATTAAAGTTTATATTAGAAAATTATTCCTTAAAAAAAGAAAAAGTTACGTAAGCTCGTTGCAATCGTTCGAGCATTGAAAAAAATTGTGATAAGTGAAAGCAAGAAGTGTATGTATGTAGCGTTATTTTAACCAAGCGTTAAATAGTTTTGTCTCGGAATGCTCGCAGAAGGATAAGTCTTTCTATAAGCATTTGGAGCTAGCGAGTCTGCGGCAGATGCAGAACCTCCTTCACGTGATAAAAAAAAAATAGTTCAATATTTTCGTTACGTTGCTTGCTACCTATGAGAAATCGTCTTGACACTTTTCCAGTAAGAAATTTATTTCCACCTAAAATGCTTAAAAACTTTATTTAACAGAAAGGACAACGAGCAAAAAAATTATATTCAGCAGTCTTTTCTTTTAAGAAAAGAAACGGCGACTTTTAATGTTTTGATGAATGATTTATAAAAATTTTTTATGCAGACGCTGGAGAACCATCTATTGAATATACATTCCATTCCTTGTGTTTTTATACGTCCTAGTTTATCGATAACGAGAGGCGTTCTTAGTTTGCATTGTATTGTGAATGCGTCCTTTGGCCAATTACGTCTGCTGTCAATGCAAACGCTTTCGCGAGAATGTTTGTCAAACGCATACACACAAACAGGCAAGCACATGGACTCCATTGCAGTCGATTAGGTACTTTATAGGTACTGAAACATTTTTCTTCGTCTTGCAAACGTCTTGAGACAATGAACATACTCTTATTCCTCGGTCGTAAGTCTAAATAATTCAAGACATTATAGCAGGGCAAGATCGGCTTTTAGATACCATACATCACATCGCCTCCATACACAAAAATATCGAATAATATACCAAAGGAGCATTTTCCATTTGAACAATTAATTGGGAACGGTCCCAAAACGTCAACTGGCTAATTGCAGCCTTGAAAATTAATTTAATTTTTTTTGCTAAAGATATTCATCTATTTTTGTCACGAAGTGAGAAAAAGTAGCCTCGTTGCCATTAAAGGATTTACTTTTTTTAAGAATCCGTATAGAGTAGAGTAGAAACGACAAAATAGACCAACGTAGTACAAATTTATGTTCTTATGTCAAATTGTTGTCATGGATTGATTTTTAACATGGAATAATAAAAATTATACCCTTCTGCCATTTAAAAATTTACTTTTCGTAAAAATGGTTAGATAGTTAGATTTAAAACAATTAATCTACGTAACCAAGATTTGGTCGAGTCAATATTTATGTCAAATTTCTATTATATATTAGTTTTTAGCAGAAAATATCGAAAATTAAACTTTTTTGCCATAAAAAGTTTGCAAGTTCTTGGGCCCTCCCATATAATATCATTTTGTGCAGATTTTAATTGAGAATATTTGTCGGTATATTAAATATTATATTAGACGATAGAAGCTGCAAAAGCTATCATGAAAGTAAAGATCAAAATTGATGTATTTATCTCAATTCTTTGAATTTCCAAAGATCTGGCAGTAGGCTGTTTGTCCGCTTTTATTAGGTTAACGCCGCGCTTTGAGTATTTTTGAGATCAACTGTACCTTTAAAGTTAATTTGCTAACGTCAGAAGAGACTGCCTGTGTTCGCAGTAGTCGAGAGTAGAAAAACCCAGAACACTGGAATACATTTTTGCTGTTTAATTAAGATGGAATCTACAATAAGCAGAAAAGCATTCCCAATAATTTTTTTGTACTTCCCTTAATACGAAGGGATATGGAATTTCACTTAAAACAGAATTAAGAAAAATGCAACCATGTAGATAGTAATCACTCGTTTTGGCAAAATTCAAGTATCATATTCTATACCTCTTATATGTTCTTCAAGTATTAGCGTAACTTCATTTCTGAAGTCTGCGTTTAGAAACGACACAGCGTAACTCGCTTTCTGCTCCGTTTGAATGCAATAAAAAAACTTTGTTAAACGGAAAGCACGTAGTATATATGGCACATTTTGAGTTCCAAGTCTGCTTTTTACTATAAATCATAATTACAAGCTTAAAAAAAAAAACTTTCTCCTTCTATACCTTCGTTTTCGGCATACTTATCACTATTGCGAGCCGAGCCGAGATGCAGTTAAGACTTTCGAACTAAAGGGCTATTTTACGAAGGAAATCATGATATTTGCATGTTAGAAAAGAAAACAGCTGTAGAATGTGTAGAAAGAATGCGTGCCAGTTGAATTCGAAAGGAAAACAGCTATAGAGTGTATAGAATATAAATGAATACGACGTGTGCAAGGGGCTCTAATAGTCAAAGAACCGCCGTCGAAATTCCTTCACTACGGTAGCGAAACTTTGCAGCTTCATTTATAATATGGTCAAAGGCCGGAAATATATAGTTAGCGAATTGAATTTCTGCAATAGCGGTTTCTCCTGCATTAGCGACTCTGGTCCCAGCGGACCCAGCTATACTTTGTTCGCAAAGAGGGGTACCAAATACCCAATCTTTAACATACTTGTCCGTCAGATTAATGGAGCAACAAAAAACCCCACCAAAGCCTACATCTTCGCCAAATGGTAATGTCGGACCTTCCCCTAATCCTATATCCATGGCGTTATTGATGGCTTGAAACATATTCATCTTTTGCTCATTTTTAGCTAGCGTATAAGTAAGCATGTAAACTGAGATGTTCTGATCACCGACTTATTGGTTTTTACAAAACTAAATAAATACCGAGTGTGTCTGTTCATTATATATTTGATTCTTTTTCAACAATCAATTTAAATAAATAATAAAATATAACAAAGCAAAACAAAAGTAATGGAAATTAATGTCGTGGTATTGCAAGAGATCGAAAGATTCATATAATAATATGGTGAGATCTCGGAAAGCCCCAGCTATTGGTGCCAGCATGTATGATATCCAAATCAATGTAAAACTGCTCTTTTGGCAAAGTTGTAGGCCAATTGATATTTTTCAAATCACTTTCAAGACAGGAGCGAAATAACAAACACATCTCCTGCGAAGCCCGAATAGTAAAAGCGAATGTAGTGCGTGTCACTCTCTTCCGTTCGTTGCCATCATTCCCATACACATATACTTCATCCGAACTTTCGCAAACACGCCTAAAAATAGAGTTTGACCATCATATTGCTAGTAGCACGTGATTGCCACCTCACCTAAATGATTGACCAGCAATGTTGAAGAATAACATGCAGGAGAGCATATTAAAAAGATTACGATGGCTACTCTGTTGATCAGGCGAACGCGTCCATAGAGCGCCCAACCACGGTCCTTTCAAATCCACAATAACTTGCCACTTGTGAAAATTAGTATCCGATAGGGTAATAGAGACTTTTTTGAATGCCTATCAAAACAAATATGATGAATAGCTGAGTTAATGTTTTGATGATGATGACTTACCTTAAAAAAATTCATCATTGTCATGCTGTGCAGTAATCGGCATTTTTGCATGTTGAAAGAATCGAACTGCCTCTCGATGGAATCGAAAAAACGCAATAAGCATTTAGCAAGTTTTTCATCGCACACTTTTTTCATCGGATTATGGAAAAGTATCGGTAAAAAGCAGCTGCTAAATATCCGCTCAAAACCCGACCTTAGATACACTTCTGTCGATTGTTGAATAGTCTGTATCCACAGTGCCAAATTAAATAAACAAAGAAGCGTGTCTCACTATTCCATTCCTTACTGTTACCTTGAAGACTGCGTGCATGCTGCAGTTGCATCTTGTAAGATTCCACACTTCTGCCCATTGTTGATTCTGTCTGTTGATTGCCTGTATCCACAGTGCGAAATTAAATAAACAAAGAAGCGTGTCTCTCTATTCCATTCCTTACTGTTACCTTGAAGACTGCATGCGTGGTGCAGTTGCATGTTGTATGATTCCAGAAATTCTTGCGAAATATATGCACAATGATCAGATCGCTGATGTCCCGTAAACGTCTCGAAGTGGCACGAACGCTTTTGTGATTGTTTATGTCTAAATAACCGATAATCTTCGCTAGCATTTCTGTAGGCAATTCACAAATATTTAAAGATACACTCGTTTTGTGAATGCGCGACGACTTCAATTGTCGTTCATGTCCGGATGTGGCTCGACGTCTTTTCATATTGTAGAAATATTTGGTTAAAAATAGATTTTGTATCGCAGAGAAAATTTGCAAATAATATCAATCCGATTTTGCCTACGAAGTAAGATATTTTACAGTGACGTGTCCTTTTTTGACAGATATTGAAAAGAATCGGATATAAATTTGAAAAAAAAAAAAAAAAAAAAACAATATTTCTTTAGCCAAAATATCATACGGATATGACAGAAAATGGTATGCTTCAAAATTCATATATTTGAATTTAAATTACGATAAGGTGAGACGAAGGTATATAAGGCATAGCAAAGTGAAGTACGATATATTGAATCAAAGTCTTTATCGAAAATTTGTAACAAAATATTCGAATCGATATTGGGGAAAAAGTTACATCTGCAGAATCCATTCCTCGTTTCCAGATTTTGTTTGTTTTAACATTTCAAACGCATGGTCGTTAAAGCTTACAAGGCTCAATAATATTTCCTGGACATATCAAAATTTGCGCAAATCTACGATAAAAATGAAAATCGTTACGTTTTTTTTTTTGTTTTTCACTATCACAATTACAAAGTGGATGGAGTCTACAACGTTATATAAAAAAAGGACATTTTAAAACAATGCTCCTGAAGATCCGCGACAATTGATGCGGTAATAATATTAATTATATCCACACCCTAAGGAAGGTGAAGTTTGTTTATACAGTTCCTAAGCTTATTACAAGTTACTTGCGCGCCCTGTATTAAGAGACTGTCGTAAGTGTCGTAAGATTTTGTTACGAAAGTGAATATAAAATTTCTTTGTTAAAATTTTAATCTTCAAAAATGTTCGCTGCTCTTGTCGCCCTGAGTTTTGCACTACTATGGCGCCAAATTTGGCCGACTACATAATTCGGGAGTATTTCCTATTTGGACAAATCAGTTAGGCAGTTAGGAAAGGTAAATTAGCTTAATGTCGCTACTATTTTGTGCATTTCTCTTTCGTAGTTATGCTTGCATCCAACCCACTTACCGCTTTAAGTAAATGTGAACACTCTATGCTATTTGCTTTTTATTGGCTTACTCCATCTCCACTCAACAACCCAACAAAAAAAAAAAAATTCTATTTGTGCTACTAAATTTGTGCGGGTGTATCTAACATCAAAGAGGGCTTAAGAAGCGCTTTCACCGAAGTTTGATTAACTGGTTTTTCGACCACTTCTCATGTAACGAAAACAATTGAAACTTGCAATCTTTGGTATGAAAAATTTGATTCGGCTGTCGGCAACTCTTTGAAAATCTTCTGCCTCCCATATAACCGTTCCTACAAAAACTGAATCTTTATATGGTAAAAGGATATAATTTTCAATACTTCAAATGTCATGGGAAAAAATTCAACCTTATCGAATTTAGCCGATGTAGGTATGGTTTTTGACTACCATCGTATATAAGGATTTTTAGGAGAAGTAAAGTCTAAGACTTTATGATGAAAATTGATTCATAGCATTTTACATAGTATTTTGGAAAAAAATACCGGATTAATGGATTTTGAATTACCAAGCTCTATTTTCTGGGCCCTAACATATATCAGCACGCAAGCAAATCTTTATATGGAGAGTAAGTCAAATTCCTGGTTTTTTATGATGGAAAAGTAAATTAAATTTGCTAAACTTGGATCTTCCCATATGATGTCTTCGCCGAAAATATTACGTAATCTTTGGTAAATTAATACCAACATGAGTGAATAACTGCATTAGTGAAGCGATATAGCGTGCCTTATGTTCGGCCTCGCCCGACTATAATGTTGCTCGTGTTTGTAAAATATTAACATTTAGTGGAGCAAAAGTTAGGTATATGTATAAATATGTATGCACATAAGAGATGTAAATGTTTTGCACCAGCTAAAAATCAGTTGCTTTGCCTGCGATCCAACATAATCCTCTTTAAGGGGAAATATCGCATTACACTTTTCATGTGCTTTTATTAGTCTTAAATCCTTCGTTAATAATTAAAAAAATGATATCGAATAAAAATCGTGCTGAATTCATAGAAATGTTCAAAGACATGAATCCGATTGAATGGTTTAGGTAAGGATGATCAGTGGCAAAGCAAAGATTTCGAAAGTAGTTTTTCAAAGCTAAGTCTCTCTGCTCCACACTCTCACTTCAATTTTTACCTCATTGTCTTGAGATGTTCATCGCTTCGTAAGAACTGAGTATAGGGCAATGTTTTGGATAAATTATAATTTATTTTTTTGGAATTTTTCCCAAAAAAACAAAGGAAAATTCTATTCGATACCACTTTTCTAACATAAATTTTTCGAACGAATTTCTTGATGCTTATTGTACTTGGAGTCATATTTTCGGAGGGCTTCCATTTTTCTTCCAAATTTTTACTTGTATCGGTAGAGTAGGAACGGTCAAGGAACTAAGGGCATCGTTTAATAAAAGCAGCCACGACCCTGGTATTAAAAAATCTCACAATAATTTCGTTATTTATTAAGTGTACAAAAAAGTTGTGTCACTTATTTATTACATACTTAACACGTTCAATTTTCCCGAGTTTTCAGATATAGATGGCATAGATGTACGTTCGTGGACGGTATAGATTGCGGTTGCTTACAAGACGTCGATCAATGCATGTCAAAGTATAAAAAGGTTGAGCTCATTTATGGTGTTTGGGTTTCCTGTGTGTGTGTGGATATTTTCAAGACTCAAACATATTCGAGAATTCGCCTTGGCCATAAAATTGGAACTCCACCAATGGATCTTAGAGAAGTCTTCCTCCCCAATCTGCAATTGTGGACAAATTCTCCCATATAAAGCACATTCTCAGTGACTGACTTAACTTTTCCTGGGCTAGAAGTATTGCATTTGGAGCGACAATGGACATTCTACGAGTTACAGAACAGAATATCAATACAATTTATTGCTTTATTAAAACTCTTAGCCTCAATATCTGATGTACTTTTATAAGTTAGTGCCGATAGCCTATGTTGCTAGTACTCAATGTCTTTTACTTTTAATTTAAGAAATTATTTCATTAGTCTAAAATAATAATAATAATATTATTGAAAACATTACCGCACTTGAGATTTGAATCCGCGACCATTGCATTATATACTTTATGATACTTTTTACTCACTTATATACGTCATGTGGTCAATAGTTATAGCGCCAATTGTTTATGTTTTGTGATTATTTTTTAAAAAAGAAAAGAATTTAAAATATTTATCATTTTGCCCAATAGGATGATTTTTTTGTTTTCGTCAACTGTAAATCATTGTTTCAAAAGAAATAATGTATGTGTGTATGTGCGTAAATGAGTTTAGTTAAATATTGCTCAGAAAGAGAATTTAGCGAATAATAATGGCAAACGGGAACATCGTCTATATAAAAATGTTGCTTGCTTCGTTTATAATTGTCGATCGATTATAAAGTGCTTTAAAGCTTTTATAAAATTATTAACGGTCAACATACTTTAACTTTTTACCCGAATCATTTAAGGTCTACCATAAAAGCTTAGAAGCTTCACCGAACTGCGCATGTGATTG